TATATATATTTACATATTATACATATTATATATCCAAATTTGAATATTTGAATTGAATATTTATAATTACACTAATTATTAATTATTACTAATAGTAAATATGTAACGAATTTTTCATTTAACTGCTATATATAATGCTTTCGCAAGTCGACCCATTTTGATCTTCAAAAAAAGAGAAAAAAGTAATTATTTCAAATTATAATGTAATTTTTTTAAATTAACATTTATTAAATATTAAAAAATCTATAATTTGAAAAAGTGCGATTTCCAAAATATTTTTAAATTTTGTATACTGCAAATGATAAGGGAATTATCAATTATCTGAATTAAAATTAGCATTTTAAGCCAGGTAATCATTTTTTTAATTTTTGAATCTGAGGGGCGCTTATTTTCACTTTTCCAGGTATATTCCTGGCTATTGTCTCATCTTTAATTGCCTTTAACAGGTCCTTTTCTCGTGAAGAAATTTCTTTGTCTCTGAGAAATACAGCCACAGCTGTTTTGGCAGCTTTACCTCTTTTTCCTATACCGGGTGTCAATTTCACTTTGAATCTGAAATGAATATTGTAGTTTATTGTAAATGAGATTACTTTATATCAATTTTTTACACCAATTGTCTTACTTGTAATTTTGTAAGGTATTGTAAGGCGCAACTACAGGTACAGCAAACAATAATTCATCTTCTGAGAAAGGTTTTCCTGTTAATTGATCAAGCATGTCGACTTCGGGAATTGGACCTGTGTCTTCGTCATCAATGTTATCTATAATGTGCATAGATTGAAATGAAACGTTTGGTTTTAGATTAGTCTTTTTTTTCCCTTGTTGTTTTGGACCTGATGGATCTTTAGCCCTATTTTTTCTTTTGTCTTCCTTAGCTGCACCTGCCGACTGAGAACATGAAAAAATGAAAAAAATGGATATATATGTTAGATTATATATAAATAAGTTTATAACACATAAATGTGGCATAAAGTTGAAAAAAAAGGAAGTAAAACCTGCAAGACAAGCATTGAAAGTCGTTTATCTTCTTCATCTTGATCTTTGTACTTCTCTTTCATTTTCTTTAATTTTCCCTTTTGTCCTCGTTTGAAAATAGGTTGCTCCTTTTTTTTGTTATCATGTTCATTCTTATCACTTTTTTCAATTTTTTCTGTTTCTTCTATTAAATGCTCTTTTTGTTTTGCTTTTGTATGTTTCTCTTTAATTGATGTATTTATTATAACAGGTTTATCATCTCCTAAATAAACTACATTTTCTTCCGTATTCTTTTGCATTTGTATTAAGGGTTGATTGTTATCAACATGTAATTTTACCCTATTTTGAATAAAAATACCTCGTATATAGTATATATTCGTTAATTCTAGCTATAAAAAATTAAAAGTTTTATAAATTTAATTATAAAATTCAAAGTTTTATATAACTTACTTTGGGCCTGAAAGGTCAATTTTAATTTGTGTATCGGGAAATTTATATTTTATATCTTCATCATCGTCTTCTTGACATAAATCTTTATTAGTATTATTGTTTTTTGCATATGATTCTGATTTCTCCTGATCTTCTGGTAAATAATCCTCCTCTTGAATTGGATTTAACGTATTTTTATTTTCTAAATTTTCATCTAACAAAAAAAGTCACGTGTTATTAAAAATATATTAACAATCGTAACAATTGTATTAAATATTAAATAATTTATTGCATTATTTACCTTCATCCGAGTCATCTTCTAATTCTATTTCCTTGTCATCTTCAATTATCAAATCTTTTTCACTTTCCTCATCTACAGTTTTAACTCTTCTTTCATCTTTATGTCGTTCTATTGAACTGTCTTCCAGACGAAACATAATACCCAATCCCATGATTAATTGACTTTGCGTGAGATAATTTTTCTTTCCACGTATCATGAAGGATCCAGTAGTGAGATATTCTCCAGTAGGTGCACTCTTCGATACTTGATCATGATGCACCCACCATGCACTAGCTATTATTTTGGAATCCCAGGCTATACTATGAACAAAATTAATTATAATTATAGATGTAATTATCATAATATAATAATATAACATAAATTATAATACTTTGAAAAAAGCATATATAGGCATTTATAAATTTAAAGATAAAGATCAAATATAACTCTGTATACCTATATGCAACAGCCATTGTACCAGCCTCTGCTAACGATTTGGGTGGTACAGGATTGCCACTGGGATTTTTTATTACGACGGAGCTGGCACCAGCTAAATCTGCGTGAACATATAAATCTCCTGCCTTTAGATATCTTTTCACTATCAATTCATTCTGCTGCTGATCTCTTCCTCCAATCACTGTATATATGTTTATGTAAATTAGAAAATTATTTGTTAGTAAATTAGTAAATTAGAATAAAATTGTAACTCAAATTTGTTCAAAAGAAAAAAAAGATTACCTAAATAATTTTCAGATGTAATAAACCAATAGAATTTTTCAAACCAATAAATTTTCCTTAATTTATTAATTGTATGTATGGTTTGAACTTCTTTCAAAGTTTGCTTTGTCTTTTTTTCTGCCGATTTTAAAGCTTTTCCCTGGGATTCTATTGTTTTTTGTTGCTTCCTAGCAGCTGACTTTTTTTGACTATAATACATTTTAGCATTACTAAATGCTGTATGGGCTAAATCTATATCGATGAGCATAGGCTTTAGCTCAGATTCTTCGTCACTGTCTTCATAAGGATCGTGTAAGAGCAAAGTAATATGATTTGTTTCCAATTTTAATTGTTTTATAGCGGAAGCAACAGGATCGCCTACGACCTGAGCTTCTTTCAATAGAACTTGAATGTCTGGCCAAGACATCTGATTTGCTAAGGCACTTTGTATCGCTAGTATAGCATTATCCACTAAAGCTTGATTTCTTGAAATCAATTCTGCCTTTTGTTTATCTAATTCCTGTGTCTTTCCCAATGTAATCAATCTCTGATCATGATCTTTCTTTACTCTCTCTAATTTTTGCAAAGCTTCTCTTTCCTGTTGCAAAGCCTTTAAATCTAGTTTTTGTCCTTCCATTGTGGAAAAATATTCGTCCACTGCTGCATCAAAAGAATCAAATTCTTTGTATGGTTGATTCTTGTATTGCTCAAACAAGAAAGGATGAAATTCAATATTAGCAAATATGAAATCTTCCTTGCCATCTTGAATCAGCTTTGTTTCTTTTTTCTGGATAATGTAGCCTTTTGAGACATGTTTCTTTGCATGATCCATGATTTTATCTGCATCCTCAAGCGCTAAAATTAATTTCGGCATATCTTTAGTGACATTAAATTCTTTACCAATTTTGCAACCAAGAGTAAATCCAGCTTTAAGTAAAACATGATCAATCACAGCTGAACCAAATTCTAATAATGGATTCAACACTCTTTTAAGACTATCTCCTTCTTTAGCTTTCTGAATATGCTTGTGGATTGTATCTATAGGTGGCATTGTTGCAGAATGTGCTCTGTCTAATGGATATTTTTCTTTCACTGCAAATCTAGGTATTATATGAATTTATCAATATTTTATATGACATATATTCTATAATAGATTATAATATATATCTTGTATATATTTACCTAATCTTATCTCCTTCTGTATGAGGTCTTAAGACATATAAAATTACCATTTCATGATCAGTGAGGATTATATTACCACGATCATATACTTCTAAAATTATATGATATGTAGCCTCGCCAGTTCCAAATTGTAAATTTATTATTCGATCCATACCAACTTGAGTAAGACTTTCCAATCTTTTATTTTTAAGATGTTTGCGCATCTGTATGCAAAATTATATTTATTGCAAGACATATATTTGTCATCATATGTGATATATTGAAGCTGCTTTATACGATTCAAAAAGATTTTTATTTGCAAATACCTTCATGGAGAAACCTGAAGGAGCTACATTTTTTGGCCATTCAAAATTTGTTGTGTGCAGTCTATTACCAGATTCAAGTAAAAGAATGCATTTTTCTTCGCTATGTTGAAAGCGTATGAGATAAGTACGATGATCTATATCATATATTTGATTGACACGCATGCCAATAAGTCTAAAAATTTTTACATGACCATAAAATAATTTATATATAATCTTTAAATTCGAAGGATACGTGTTTTATATTTGTATTTGAAACTTACATTAGTATCAAAACATTCATATCAACATTTATTTAATAATAGTTAATAATAATAGTGCAATTAAAAATTTAACAAATGTGATATATAACATTTATTTAAATTAAGATAATGTATAGTTTTATACTTTCTATAACTAATTGTAAGTTCTATATTTTAAAAGATTTTAAGTATATATGTGTATATTTTTGGTTATAATCTCTCATCATCTTATAAAATTCGAAATAGAAAGTTTTTTATCTTTTACTTACTTTTGTAGTTCAGTAACTGAACATACAAGATCGTAAGTGTTAAATCGTGTCTTCATTTTTAGGCAGATTTGATTATTTCTTGAAAAAATTTACTGAACATCGATGACAGCTTATATATTATTCTGCTATCAGCTGCTACCTTTGCCTTGCACTTGCACACTGCGCAATATTACGTTACACACACTAGAGTATATTCACATATAATAAGCTAAAAATATATATACATATATATATTTATTTATATATATTTCTATATTCTCACATATTTGACTAATACTAACTGTTTAAAATTAAAAAATTCTTAATTATATAAAATAAAAGCTAAGAATTTTTTTATGGAGGTACGTTATAAAATTTATCTCATAAATATGTTAAAAACTTTGGAAGGAAGTACATGAAGAAAGAAGATACAGCGTATAAATTTTATGTTTTTTTTTATTCAATAATATGAATAAAATGTAATGTAAAATTTGCGGACATTAACGATAAGATTTCTGGTATCGTGCTCTTGCACCTGGACCACCAAACTTCTTTGGCTCGCACCTCCTTGGATCAGCAACAAGAAGAGTACGATCATATTGGATAAGGATATCCTTTACCTCCTTTTTACTAGCCTCATCAACATCTACGATACAATCATGATTAGAACTTAATAAACTCTCAATAATCGAGTAGTCAATATTAATATACTTACATTTTTGATAGTACGCAACAAGAGCTTTAGAAATAGCTTGACGAATGGCGTAGATTTGTGCAACGTGACCACCGCCACTTACTCTCACTCTGATATCAACTCCGGAAAACTTTTCCTGAAATACAAATATATAAAAGCGTCTTCCTCTGGAAAAAGTTACATCTCATTTGCGCTTGTATTCAAAAGCAAGTGTATTCTCAAAATCTGTTTTTCTAATCATGAACTATTATTTTTGGGGAAATAAAAATCATAAATATTAATTTCGACTACAAGTAGAAGTAATACATTCATCTTTAAGAATTTTTACAGGGTTCTTCCTCGCCATTTATTTAAAAAATTTCTATCTATGTTCGCATTATACTAATCATTACTCACTTTTCCTAGCAATAGGATAGGTTCCTGCAATTTGTACTGCAGCACGCGGGGTTCCACTAGCTCCAGCGGCCGACCGTTGACGCGGAGATTTCCACGACCACGTTTGCAATACGCGACTGCAGTCGCGCTTTTCTATCACATATAAGAGGCCAAATTAGATATACCGTGTAACTACGAGACACGCGCAAATTTAACCTCACTCTCGTTGCTAAACCCTTACCTTACGTCCGAAGACTTGCACGGAGTGGATCGGTTCTTTTTGTTTCTGAAAAGAAAATTACGTGTTACGAGTTATTTTTTATCAATTTCTTTTTATTGAAACAACATCGCAATCGGAAATAATCCTAAAAAATTACCTTCTGCATTTTGATGACCTGACAACACGTTGAGTGAAGAGGAACAGAAAGGAAGTCGGTCGTTCGCCATGCAGTGTTTTCATCGATATGACTACGTTGATCAAGCGAGATATCGTCTCGTGTAGTCGAGAAAATTACTTCCGGTAGAGAAATAATATAATTCGTCCGCGTTATTGTTGCGATTATATAGCGATTATTTCTAATTCATTATTTCTGATTGAAAGACTGAATTATAATAATATAGTTAATTTCTTCCGACTCTTTTTAATTTTCAATTTTGTTTTTAATTTTTCTTAATTAAATATAATATCGTATTTTTTATAAAGTTACGGCAGATATGTTCGAGTACAAGCGCGAGAAACATTGTTATTGTATTTTAAATGAATATATATGAATAACGCGTTTGTAAAATCTTCACAATTTTCTTGACGATTTGAATTTGGCGCCTTTTTTATCATGACGTCATATTTGCAACAGTTATATCGCGCGCGTTCGGAATCAAGTAAAGTCGCGTTCCGGATTTCTCGCGTCTTTATTCATTTAAAATGAGTTTAAACGAGCAAATTAATAATATCGGGAGTGCCAAATTAAGTGCTATACGATCGTTGTGATTCGATTAATTAAGCAATGACAATCCTTATTCGTTTGAGTGTATATAATTTCTATATAATTTATAAGAAGCGTTCATCTTCCGCGGAAATGTGGTTAAGTTCATATTTTCTAAAGGTAAGAGGCAGAGATTATTTCTAAATATTATTTTTATAATTATTATCTGACACTCGCTGATCAATAACAACAAAAAACTAATTCGAGGTCGCTATTATTTTATGCGAATTTAATAAGAAATACAATGCAAAATATTTTATAAAAAGAAAGCAAAAATGAAATCAAAATGTTGATAAATTACAAATTAACTAACCAATTAAGCACAGCGATTAAGTACAATGAATCATGATTTTATTTGTTATATAATAATATCTACAATAAAAATACCATATCGTTTGAAAAACAATTTTCGTGTTACAATTATACAGTAATTTTATATAATAATATTTAGGTTTTCGTTCCAAATAAGATGTAGCGATGAACATACACCTCGCGCAATGGGAGTGAGAAAATACATTTTTTTGTTGCAAATTCCGCATTGTGGTTTCTTCACTCAGTGTGTGTGTGTGTGTGTGTGTGTGTGTATGTTTATGATGCGTGCGTGTGTGTATGTGTACATTTTTTTCTTTTTTCGAGTGTCAACTTTTTGACCATACAAACACACGAGATGACACCACACACGTTTAACCGCGTCGCATTATTATTCTTTCTTATCTTTTCTCATCTGCTCGTCTGATCTTTCATCTCATATATATTTTTTTTTTATATTTTGAAAAAAGGGGAGTTTTGTCGGAGAGGATGCGAGGGTGCCGTCTCGAGTGTCTCGCTTGTTTCGCCTGTGCCTCACGCACGCAATTCTTTCTTTCTTTCTCTTAGTATGTGCGGAAAGTGTGTTGTAGAAAGTGTTGGATTATATAGAGCGATCCAACTCTTCACCGAGATGTCGGCTTTGCATGGCGCGGATATAATATATCCCCGAATAGTCTCTAAATTAACTACACTTAATAGTTAATAGTACCGTAATGTCATCTCAATATATATATCATTGTATTAGTTTTATCATAATATATAGAAAATACATATAACAATTATTTAAATGACTCACAATCAATCATCTTGCCATAACGCGCGTATACGACGAGCACACGCACGCGGCGCTCGTGCGCGTATAACGCGTTTATGTGCGCGTATGCGTATATATATATATATTTTTATCTATATATATATATATATATATATTTATTTATATATATTTATATATATTATCGGTGTGTTAATTACATGATATTTTTACACTCGTCGTACAGAGGGAGAAAAAGAATGGCGCGGAGGCTCGAGAGGGTGGGTATGGGGCAGAAAAGGAATAGATTTCTCACACACACATTTACATTGTCTCTTCGCTCATACTAGTGCTAGTTTAAAAGGAAATTCATCGAGAAACCTAGTCGATATCTTATAATGATTTTGTCTACCTTGTACTGTAGTATGTATCCTTGCGTCTAGCGAACATTGTCTCGTCATACATGTGTCTTTTATCAGGCATTTTGCCATGCCACTGATATCCTCTATTTGATTAAATTTTACCTCTTTCAATTTTCCCCGTTTGATTTATACCTGTGACTTTCTCGTTGAATTCGATGTATCGTCCGCATTTTCTACGCGTATATTCTGTGCTTTGCGATGTGTGTATGCCTTTTCAAGACTTGACACATGAAAACCTATGTGTGCGTATATTGTTTGTATGTACGTATTTGAACATATACGCTTGTCTATATATAGGAATATAGATATCGGAA